TGATTAACAATGTTGCAAAAGCTCATGGTTTGTTCGGATCCATTTCATCTATTATCTCGCTTCGTTTTTTTCAAGGCCCCTTGTGCATGCTAGGTTGTGCTTATCTACTGTCTCTTGACTTGACCATTAGGTGGTTTCTCTGTCTTTGCTGGTGTTGGTGAGCGTACCAGGGAGGGTAATGATTTGTACAGAGAAATGGTTGAGAGTGGTGTCATTAAGCTTGGAGACAAGCAAGTTAGTATGATCTGAAATGGCTCTTTGCGTGGTTAAAAATAACATTTGTCAATCTTGCTGATTTTTTCTATTTCTATATCTTCCGAATGTCAGAGTGAGAGCAAATGTGCTCTTGTGTATGGTCAAATGAATGAGCCCCCTGGTGCTCGTGCCCGTGTTGGACTCACTGGACTTACAGTTGCCGAGCACTTTAGAGATGCAGAGGGACAGGATGTGCTTCTGTTTATTGACAACATTTTTAGGTTTACCCAGGTTGGTCACTGAAAATTTCCTATGCTGAGCTGTGTTGGCAGTTACTTGATGCACCTTTTTATGCATATATCCTTTTGTCTAAGCTTCATTTGCACTACTTTTAAGACACTCCTATTTATCTATGGTACTTAATATAACTTAAATAAACATATTTGCTATTTGTTGCAGGCCAATTCAGAAGTCTCTGCATTGCTTGGGCGTATCCCATCTGCTGTTGGTTACCAACCTACCTTGGCAACCGATCTTGGAGGATTGCAGGAACGTATCACTACAACCAAGAAAGGTTCCATTACATCAGTGCAAGCTATTTACGTGCCTGCTGATGACTTGACAGATCCCGCTCCTGCAACAACATTTGCTCACTTGGATGCCACAACTGTCTTGTCTCGTCAGGTTATAACCGTTCATCTATTCTTTTGTCCAATACTCAATGGCTGGCATAAAGGGGGGGCACACCCCTAATTATTTTTGAAGTAGGTATAATTACTCTAGTTAGTTAGTAAATATGGTAGACCAGGTGCTCTTACATTTAACTTCCAGTTTGAGCAGGTATATATGAAAGAAAAAGTGTGCAGAACTTGTTTGAAATTCAATAAATCAGTTTTAGGCATTTCTTCAAACTCATTTCATGTAAAAAGTTCTACTACATATAGGCCGGAAACTGATACATGTAAAATTTAATAAAGTTTTTGTTCGATTTGACATTCTTTCATATTTCCCAAGTAAAAAACCGAACGTAAAATTCATTTTCCTTTGTATTCTTTTCACTTCCCCACCATTTTCGATGTTCTGAACATGGCTTTAGAACTTCAGTAAATCTTCTTATTATTCCCTTCGTACTAATTAAGATATTCTTTTGGAAATAGATCTCCGAGCTTGGCATTTATCCAGCTGTCGACCCCCTTGATTCTACATCCAGAATGCTTTCTCCACACATTCTGGGAGAGGATCACTACAACACTGCGCGTGGGGTACAGAAAGTCTTACAGAACTACAAGAATCTTCAAGATATTATTGCTATTTTGGGTATGGACGAGTTGAGTGAAGATGACAAGTTGACTGTAGCTCGTGCCCGTAAGATTCAAAGGTTCCTTAGCCAGCCGTTCCACGTGGCTGAGGTTTTCACGGGTGCCCCTGGAAAGTATGTTGAGCTTAAGGAGAGCATCACTAGTTTCCAGGTAACCCTGCAATTATTGTTTTGCTTTCAAATTTTGTTATAGCCTAATAAGGAATTTTTTGTTGATGCTTACGAATGAATGTTCAATGATTTGCTAAAACCCAGGGTGTACTGGACGGGAAGTACGATGACCTTTCTGAACAGTCATTTTACATGGTTGGTGGAATTGATGAGGTCATTGCAAAGGCAGAGAAGATTGCCAAAGAATCTGCTGCCTAGATAAAACTAAATCCTCCCCGGTCATTCCGCTGTTTTTTGGGTGTTTTGGTTGATAATCGCGAAATAATTCTGTGATGACAATGCCAATCTGAAAGATTTTTTTAATCATTAATGAGACCCGGGTGGTCGAAAGTTATTCACCCCTTTTTCTTATGTATTTCATGTGGAACTGAGAGATAAAGGTGTTTTTTTGTTATTGTTTTTCACATAATAAGTGCGGTGAATTTGGCTGTTTTGTACATTATCCATATTGTGAGTGGTGGATTATGCCCTCATGGTCTCATTATGTAACGTTTCACATTTTTCTGATGTTATTTTCATTTTGGATGTCATGTTATGTAACCCAGAATTACTCAAATAAGGGATGCCACAAAAAGTTCCCCAAATCCTTAATTCCCCATTCTCTTTTGATAAAATAAAAATAGTAATGCCATGGTTTGTCTGCAAGCCTTGTTCGGAGCGCTTAGTAATTGTAGATTGGGTTGATCAAATAATTTGCTAGTTCAATACTTCAATAACAAATACTACCTCCGTAACATTATGATGTTCTCATTTGAAAAGTAGGTAGATTAAGAATAGTGAAAGGAGATATGTATTATTAGGGGTATGATGGGAAGATAGTGAAATAATGTGATGGAATGAAGGATAAATCCAAAAAAAGTAGGTGTAATAGTGTATTATTTTTAAAATTATTGAGGGTATGATGGGAAAATTTAGAAATGAGAAGATATGTGTTACGTCCAAAAAAGGAAAGTGGGAAGATATTTATGTTACGGAGGTAGTAACGAGCAAGTAGTCATTTAAAACATGGCTAAGTTGAGATTGTGTAGCTTTGTGTAAAAGACATTATTCGGATTAAACTATATGCAAGAACGAATCATTGGATAAACAATGTGTCAATGTTTGTTGTTTGTTTCGGCCTTTGACTTTGTCTCTTTGAGGGAATCATTCGATTATGTGATGAATATTTTCAAGTTGCACGACATAACTCGCTAAGCTATCATCCAAGTACTGCAAACCTGTTTCCTATTTATGCTTTAGGTCCTCTATTTCTCTATGTTACCTAAACGCTAACTACACAATGTACAAAATCATAATTATAAAGTTGGCTCAATTGTGTTTTTCCTCTCTCGACTCTCTACGTGGCCGGGGTTACCTAGGATGAATGAGGACAAATATTTTCTCCACAAAAATGAATAGACTATTTTTACTCTTAGAACAACATATTTATCGCATAAAGCTTGCAGTTAGAATATTCAAATTTGATTTTTTCACATTATTACCTATTGCAAATACATTAATTTTAATGAACAAATCAATATGCTCAGAGTGAAATACATTGAGGCAATGAGGTGAATTTTTCTACGAGATGAGATTAATTCTACTACTTGAGGAGCGTTTGCTACAATTTAAGAAAATTGTTTTTCAACTTTTTTGTTTAAACAGTCAAAAGCAATGTTTTCAAATAAATTCTTCTACTATAAGTAATTTACAATGAGAAGTTGTAAATAGATTTAAAACGCATACCACACAAATTACTGCATCACCTAAAATTTTACCTTTTTCATATTTTAAAAACAAACAACTTTTACTATTGATTACTTTAAGATTTAAATCACCAATGGAATATCACCTCATGAGCAGGGGCGGAGCCAAGGGGGGTCAGTCGACCCCGCTGAAAGTTTGAGAGCATAGAGCTCTGAAATATCTTCGATTTGATATATTATGGCCCCCGTAACTCATTACGAGTAAAAAGTTATGACTTCTGCAAAATCCGCACTATCGAAACGTAGAATCAGCAAAATTTGGTGAGTAATATTGATTTTCCCCCCAAATTTTAAAATAGCGTATAGTTAACTCATTACTTACGTGACATAACTCAAAAATAGAGCAAAAACAGTCTCTTTTATTGTTACGAGTGCCTATTTATCTAAACTACATATAAAATATTCAACTCGGACATTGTTTGGAAACGATCCACCGTTTTCATTTTATATAAAGTTGATTCTCGACCCCCCTGGACCGTATTTCTGGCTCCGCCACTGCTCATGAGGGATCATTTTCAAAGGATATGGTGACAACTGACAAGTGCTATGGTATGTCACAACTAAAAGATGATATTGTACTTGAAATTTACTATATACGGAGTATTTGATTGGTGTAGATTATAATCTCATCGATTATTAACATTTAAATTATTCAACTATAATATTTTTTTGTGAGTTAATTATAATATTTTGATTGATCCATATAACTAATACGGAGTATATACCGATTGCAAATATGATGTTTTTAGTTGGATTGAAATTTGTTAATCTGATCTAGTGAACCAGTTCGATCAGATCAGATTTAAACAGATCAGATCAAACTTACATGGTTATAAATTAGAAATAATGGCAAGAGTATTACCCATGAGGTTTCAATAGACAAAAACATGACCATTTTACAAAAGGACAAAAAAGTGACCATTTAAATTAAAAAAGAGTTACTTGCGCATCAGCTGGCCTGCCAGTGTCATACTGTCGATCCTTTTCTGCGCACCATATTCTTGTCCATCTGCATCGCCAAGCCGCCAAACTGCCGCCGTCTTCAAGCTCTGCCCGGATCGGCCAGCCTAACCGCCTCCATCTTCAAGTTCCATCCTCCATCTTCAAGCTCAGTCCAGATCGACCAGCCAAATCGTCTCCATCTTCAAGCTCCATCCTTAGTCTTCAAGCTCCGTCCAGATCCTCCAGCCCAACAACCTCCATCTTCAATCTCCGTCCTCCATCTTCAAGCTGTGCCCAGATCCGCCAGCCACCGCCACCGCAGGTTCACACCTCGTCGCTCTCTGCCATTGCAAGTCCACCGCCCGCTGCCATTGCAAGTCCGTCGTTGGCCTTCTATTCATCTCCTTCTGCCTCGCATTAACGGTGTCGGTAGATGGTCAGATCCGGTACCAGCTAGCTAGGGTCTGAGGCAGGGTGGCGGTCATGGTTGTGGCAAATGCTGTTTAGCAGCTGACGACCGAGGTGTGTGGTCGGATCCGACGGCAAGGATTCTACTGTTGGGCTATAGGGCAGAACAACAAATTGTACAGGGGCTGAGCTTGGTAGGGGTTGTGAGGTTGAAGAGGGACATTAACGAGGTGGTGGCGGCCGAAGTAACTTCTGTCGGGCGGTGTCACCGGAAAATTTAATGTCACTGGAATGTGGCGGCGTCACTGTGGCCAGCGGCGATATCCGACTGGCGGCGGTAACTGGCGGGAAGAGGTTGTCGATGTCACTGTATTTGTGTCACTGCAGGGTGTTAGTGTAGCTCGTTGCTGTAGTTACTACATACTACTCACATTTTTGGAATTTAAAAAGGTCACTTTTGTGTCTATGGTCAATTTATTAGTAATATTCTAGTAAAACCCCCCTATAAATTACATGGTAGAATATTTCATGGTAATATTGGACTGAAGAAACTATTACAGGGACACGTGAATGAATTATCTACTGCATCATGCTTACGGTAGTCCACACTTGTCTCGCCACAAGCCCGTCCGCTTCTGTCGGCGACGCTTTTTGTTCTCCTCCGCGAACCACCTACTTCGAACCCACGCGCCGCTGTCAGAGACCCCCCCTTAGAAATGTCAACTGCCGCTATTCTTCCTCTTGCGCCAATCACTAGTACCCACCTCCGTTCACATGCACCGCAGATCACCCGATTCCTCCCCCACGCCTCCTCATCCATGAACCTCCTCCGACCACTCCTCCGCCGCAGCCATCTCCGTCGTCTCTCCGTCTCCGCCGCCGCCGCAGTCCGTCAGGAAAGCACCGTCTGGACTCCGGCCCCTCTCTCGACTGTCTCTCCCGCGGCCGAGTCGCTCTTCCACGTTACCATCGACGTGTCCGACTCTCCTGACCTCGCGGTTTCCCATACCAAGGCTGGGCAGTACCTCCAGCTCCGCGTCCCAGACGTCGAAAAGCCTTCATTCCTTGCTATTGCCTCCCCGCCGACCCTTTCTGCCGCGAAGGGCGTCTTTGAGTTTTTAGTGAAGACCGTCCCTGGCTCGACAGCGGAGCTTCTGTGTAATCTCCAAAAAGGAGACGTGGTGGAGCTGAGTTCGGTGATGGGGAAAGGTTTCGAGATTGATCTGATTTCTCCGCCAGAGAAGTATCAGACTGTTCTGATTTTCGCCACCGGGTCTGGAATAAGGTGAGAATAACTGTACAAGTTCTATATTTCATTCAATTTAAAAAACCCAATTTTATTTTGCTTTCTCTGGTATGTCTCATAATGATAATAATTAGCAGTAGTAACTAATTTTCTAAATAAAACTACCTTGCTAAACCAATCCACAACGGAGGGCAACATGTTTGCTAATCTTCAATGTGAATTTATGTTTCTAATATGTAAGATACTCATATTTATCTTTGAGATATGATGCTGAGAAGGAGTTGGGGGAATTGTGATGAACATAGCCAAAATAGTGTCTTTTGAAACCTGTGATCACATTGGAGATTTGGAGTATATGCAGAGTTGTAGAAATGGATGGTAGGGAATGAAACCATAAATGAATGATTGGGTGGATCGGGTTCTGCATATCTCCTCACTGTCCATTCTACCAATCATTACAGAAAATGCTTTTGGATCAACAAACTCTTCACTTGATTTCAACGCTATGCTCTGAATTCTGAAGTTCCTTGCTGTATAATTCGTTCTATTTTTAAATAATTTACAACGTATATAAATGTTGATGAAAGAAAACCAGCAATTCATGCCTCCAAAATCCAAATGCTGTTTCCAGCCAGATTTCTTGATTTTCTTAAATCCAGCTGTGAGCATCTGTTTGCTATTGAGTCCCTAAATTTTGAGTACTCAATAGCTTCCTAAATGAAGTGCTATGGTATTAGTGCTGCACAAACGAATCCCTCAATTCTAGTGTGCAACACTAGAATTGGCATGTACTTACTTGACTGGGTTCATTCATCATAGCATTATTTCAGAGATGAATAACGCTGGGAACTCTGAAATTGTGTAATGATAGCCCTCCAACTTTGATTCGTATGGCGGTATAGGGTAAGATTGGACTGCTGCACAGTGCCACCAAAATCTAGGCATAGTGTGGTTTGCTTTTGATATTTCCCCCCGTATGGTAGCACTTAGCATTACATGTCTTATTCTGCTTGTAATAATCGGAATAAGGGGAATCGATTCTATTATCCATGTATCCTTTCTGCTAATTTGGCAGATTTTGTCAATTCTGCTAAATTAACCTAACCAAACAGGCTCTTAATCTTCTGCTTGAGATATAACTGGTCTCAACTAAGAACTAGAATTAGTCATCGACGTGATTGTGTTCAGTGTTTGTACTCCATAGCTGTTCAACAGAAATGCAGGTGGAAATGTGAAATGTGAACCAGTGTAGGCTCAATTACCCTCATTTCCGTGGTTGCTCAGTGCTTGTTCTCGCGAGCAAAGAGTTTCATTTCATTACTCCCTCCTTCCCAAATGATATGCTATGTATTCACAGGGATTAAGAAATACACACCAGTTATTTAGTTAGTTACTTCTTGTGATTAATTTTATTCATATGCAATTCTCACTATTATCTTTTTGTAAAATTAATTGTTATATTGTTCATATCGTGGAGTTCTTGAAATGAAAATTTAAATTGAAGTGACACTTGGGAACTTGGGAATATAAAATTGAAGTCACACTTGGAATTGAAATACACCAAACATCTGATGGTTCCTCAAGATTTTCCATGGGTTGTAGACTCATAATAAGTTTCTCAAGGGCTAGTTTGGTTGGTGGGTTTTGAGTGGGGGTGGAAAAAATTGATCTTGTTTTATTAATTTATACAAGAAAGTACGGAATAACTACTTGGTATAAATTTACTTCATCATGTATGCATATATGATTTGTCATCTTCAATTTCTTTCAAGCAATCTAAAGCAAAATTAGATTAATGAAATAGTTACCACCTATTCCCTTTTATTTCAAAAAAACCCAGCCAAATAAGGGTGAAATTTTTCATTGGCCTTTCAGTTCCTGCAAAATCACCTCCAAGAGGTCTAGGTTCAAAGGCCCCTCTGAATTAGCTCTGAATTAGCAGCTGATGAACATATTTTGTGAATGTATTTACTTGCTTTTTTCACAACTGTGAAGAAGGACATGGAAAGCATGGATGGAAGCTCAAGATGCCCTGTTTCTAATACCTTTGCTCAACTATGCTATGGTATAATGTTTCATGCATTCATATTGTTAGTGTTATAAGTGACAGGGGGCAGAGCGGCAGAGAGAGTAGATAAAGAAAGGGCCTTAGGAACTGCTAGTAATTCCTTTGTAGGTTGATCAAGATAGTGTGGAAGCTCTTCATTCTTTCTGTCTTTCAGGGCATACTAAGAGAAAGAGCATGAGAGGGGGGACGGACGGTGGGAGGGTAAGCCAATAAGAGACATGAAAGTCTTTTGATATATGGAAAGGAAGAGTTCCCGTATCCAATCTGTTGTCTGAAGGCTAGATAAAATATAATCGGAAATATGAGTTCATTATCCATAAAAATCTTTTAATTTCATTCCTTTTTAGCTGCACCTTGGGTAAACTAGATCTTATTTGTGTGCTGTGTGAGGATGGGGTGTGGTAAACTAGACAATCATTGGTTTGTCACTTTGTCTAGAGTCTAGACCCTTAACTTATGGGACCAGGGAGGAGATCAGCACCTAACATCATGTTAACATATTTATATGAGTGTAATGGATGGAGGTGACCATGTGATGTTTGAGTTCTTATAGATATAAGGCTTGGAATTTGAGGTGTGTGCCTTTTCTTATAATGAGCTGAACATATCCGGAAACTGATCTATCAATATGAAAAGATCCTGCAAGGCTGCATCTAAATTGCCGATTTGAATCATCTTGAGCTCTAGATGCAGTCGTACGGTCAAAGAATATAGTATAACTCCTTCGGCATACACACTTTCCGGAAATATGTGATAGAGGTAGGAAGTCTAGCAGTTGGTGCTCAGCAGGTTCATACTGCAAATAGTGAAGTTCCTCATTTAGGGACTTAATTTGTGTATTCCTGTAAGTTCTTTGCAATTGGTTTATCTAGTGTTTCTCCTCCATCTTTCTTTAATGGCATAATGGTTAATGATTCAGAATCCATTCCATGTTAAATAGAGTGCAAAATGCAGAGTTTAAGCTATTGGCGGTTGGTAGTGGTTCCCATTTTAGAAGTCTATTTGTAAAGTTTTTTGTCACTTCAACAGTTCAACCCCATAAAGGACCATAATCGATAGCATATTTGCGTGGAGCCTTTTACGTGTATGAGTGCATAAAACTATCCTGTTACTTTACTTCATGTTAAACTCATTTTTATTGTTATGTACTTGCACTATCTTAAACGTCAAGTATATTACTCCCTCTGCTATTTAACTGTTGCTTAATTGATCAAGTTTGTTCTCAAACGAATGTCACTTCAGAATTAAAGAGATCATCATTGTTTATTTTAGTTATTTCCATCATTATCCTTCTCCACCATAAATGCCACTTAGTACTTTTAAAACGTTAATAGAGGTATACTAGTCATGATGTGATTTGCCTTTTCTACTTCCACCTGCAGTCCTATTCGGTCTCTGATTGAGGGAGGATTTGGTGCTGACCAAAGATCTGATGTGCGATTATATTATGGTGCCCGTAATCTAGAGCGAATGGCTTATCAGGTACACATCTTCCTTGTTATTCTTAGGAACCTAAGAATATTATTAAGTCATTTAATATTTTGTAATAAAATGGGTTTAAGCCTTATATCTAAGTAGAGGTGGGCTGGCCCATTAGAGAATGAATAAATAAGGGGGAGCTGGAAATGGAAGGGGGGGAATTATTTGGGACTTGGGACATCGGGACTTGGGAGCTGGCATTCTCTAACTGCCGATATATTTCTCTTTCTATACTCTCTGTTATACGACACTTTCAGTTCATACGCCTTCTATCTTCTTCATCTTGATTCGTGAATTTACTGTGAAATTGCCTGTACCTAACATTGGTATCAGAGCAACGATCGTGGTACCTGTTTATGGTTGCAACCAGACGATCGATGGAAGGAAGACTGGAGAATCTGGAGCGTGAGTTGGCGAGGCAGGCCGCGACCATGGAACGCGAACTGGAGAGGCATCGCGAGGAGGCCAGAATCAGAAGCGAGGAAGCTAAACGAGATCTCGATGAGTTTCGCGAGACGATAATGAAGAAACTCGATCGCAAGCCTCGCAGTCGCAAGTCACGCGATCGATCAAATACATCCACAACCAGTGCGAGGGATGGGAGCCGCGAATCCAGGTCTTCTGCAGGTAATCATCGATCCACATCCTCTAGGCATGATGGTGAATACCGTAGGTGAATTGAGAAATCTGGAAGGAAAGTGGATTTGCCACTTTTTAATGGATTGGATGCTTATGGATGGACCATTAAGGTTGAACGATTTTTTAAAATGAACTGTATTCAGGAAGAGGATAAAATTGAGATAGTCACCTTAGCCATGGAAGGAAGAGCGTTAAATTGGTTTCAATGGTGGGAGGAACACTCTAATGTAAGGAATTGGGAACTGTTTAAGGAAGCTCTGACTGAGAGGTTTGAACTTGGACTGGTACAGGATCCATATGGTCCTTTACCGAGTATTAAGCAGACTGGGAGTGTAATGGAGTATAGGGATGAGTTTGAACTGGTGGTAGCACCTTTGAAAAATACTGATGTGAAAATGCTCAAAAGCATTTTTATGAAAGGGTTGAAACCTGAAGTGCGAGCGGAGTTGAAGTTAAATCCTGTACGAACACTGGCAGAAGTAATGAAGATGATAGAAGAGGCAGGAAAGATAAGGGGTACTCTTCAGGGCAGAACCACAAATGGATGGATGAAAATAAATGGAAGAGCAGTCTGAATTACCAGCCCACTCAAGAGAAACCTGCCATGGAAAAGAAAATGTTGGAAACAGGAAATAAGGAATCTGGAAGTGGGGGCACACACAGGTTATCACAGTCGGAGTTACAGGATTTGAGCAGAAGAGGTCTTTGTTTTAAGTGTGGTGAAAAATGGGGCAAGGACCATATCTGCAAGATGAAACATTTTCAGATCACCATGTTAGATGAATCTGAGGAGGAGGATGAATTGGAGGGTACTGCTATAGAACCTGTTTCACCGGTGCAGGAAATTGTCACCTCTAATATGCATTTGTCTCTCATGAGTAAGGAAGGGATCACAACTCCTAAATCTTTTAAGGTGCAAGGAAAGATCAGGAGTGAAAAAGGAGATAAAAACATCATCATTTTGATTGATTGTGGGGCCACCCACAACTTTATATCTCAAAAGATAGTTCAAGCAGCAGGTCTACATGTCCTCCAAATTCCAGAATTCAAAGTAAAGATAGGAAATGGAGACATAATCAGAAACAATGGGAGATGTGAGGCTGTTTGCCTTAACATACAACAAACTGCCATCATTCAAGACTTTTATGTCTTAGAATTGGGGGAAAATGAGATGGTTTTGGGGCTGGAATGGTTAGCAGGATTGGGAAATGTTGAATTTCATTTCAATCAGCTGACTATCCAATGGAAGGACAAGGACGAAGTAATGAAGCTGCAGGGAAATACCAACCTCAGCAGAAATCAAGCTTCTTTCAAGTGGCCTAATAATGCTGAAACAGAAAAGCACAATCAACAATCATCTTTTGGGAGGCTGCACTATGTTACTGAATTTCAAGATAGTTTTACCCCATGGTTGAAGATAGACTTCCAGTTCTCTGATATCCAGACTATATCTCAAATGATCATCAATGCTTTTGTCCATGTATTTTTGTATCTGGCAATATGCAAGCTGAAGAGACAAGGGAGTGCTAGTATGGGTTTCACACATACCCTAGCAGAAGGGGAGGCCCTTAAAGAAGAGAACTCCGGTATGCAAGGTTTGAACCAACAGTTTCAGAGATGGAAGGATGCTAAACTGGAATGGTATAATGGTGGGAACAAGGGGTATGGTGATGAGTACGAATCCCAGAAACACCAATTTTATAATTGATATTGTTCCCAGGAATAGAAGAATTACAATTCAGAAGATGACGATAAAGAAAAACAAGGATAAATTGTCGTAGAAGTAAACTGAGACCAGTTCGAGAGGGTCTCTCTCTCCACAACTTCTGCCCATGTTCCAGAATGCCTTCTCTCTCCAGTCGTTGCCTTTTTATTCCCTCAACCATACCGATACTTCCTCCTTAGTCGGTTATGCCTCCACTCTCCTGTGTTGATAGTCTCTTCCCCTTTTTACCCCTACGGTTATAAACTTTAGAAAAATCCCGATTAGGATTAATTCTAAAATTTAGGCTCGTATCATCACCCCGCCCTTCAAAACTCACCTTGTCCTCAAGGTGAAAATCAGGGAACATAGACTGGAATTGCAGCAAGTCCTCCCATGAGTCTTCAAAGTCGGGGAGGTTCTTCCAGTGTACTAAAAGTTCTTTCCTTCCCGTAGGACTCTTCCTTATCGCCAACACCCTTTCTGGTTGGGTTTGTAACTCCCACTCTTCAGACAAACAACTTGGTAAAGGCTGGCTAGGGATGTTAGGAGCCACTGTTCTCTTTAATAATGAAACATGGAAAACCAGGTGCACCGTACATCCCTCTGGCAGTTTCAGTTTATACGCCACAGGATTGATCTTGTCTACCACTTCAAAAGGCCCATAGAATCTGGGACTGAGTTTCTGATTCACCCGTTTGGCCAAACTTTTCAGCTTATAAGGTTGTATTTTCAGGAAAACCATGTCACCCACTTCAAACTGAACTTCCCTCCTACGTTTATCCGCCTGTTGCTTCATCCGGTTTTGTGCTATAGCCAAATTGTGTTGAAGTTCCTTGAGCATTTCATTCCTTTCAGCTGTGAGTTTGGTGACCTCTTCTATCACTGGAATAGGGAATTTGTCAGGGATAGTGATTTTGTTGAGGGCTCGGTAATCTCCACAGATCCTCCAACCTCTGTCCTTCTTCTTCACCATGATAACTGGACTACTATAAGGGCTGGTACTGGGCCTTAGTATGCCGGTTATCAACATTTCTTGTACCAATTTCTCTATCTCAGTCTTTTGGTAGTGTGGGTATCTGTATGGCCTGGAGTTAGGAATAGGAGCCCCTTCTTTTATATTGATAGAATGATCACACCTTGGGGGTAGGCTTGTAATATTTCTTTCCATTCTTCTCCACTTTCATTCGCTTCTAAAACTGAATCTGATTCACTGCAATGCACATAATAGCCCTGCCCTTGTGTCTGTATGGCTTTAAGTGTTGTCTTCCAGGAAGTTGTAGCTTGATTCAAAGAGTAGCCCCCTGTCAACAACCTTTCCTGTCCTGCTTCCTTCCAGGTGATATATAATTTTCGGAAATCAGCCTTCACTTCACCAAGACTAGACAGCCATTCTATTCCCAGTACCAAATCCGTTCCGCCTAACTCCAAAAGATAGAAATCTTGTTTGATTTCTATGCCCTGCACCCAGATTTGTAACTGTTCACACCTTCCTCTGTTTATTATCTGGTCTCCGTTTCCCAGTTCCACTTGGAATCCTGTGTTGCTTTTATAATTCCAACCCATCTCTTCCACCAACTTTTGAGAAACAAAATTATGTGTAGCCCCAGAGTCAATGAGAACCAACACTGATCTCTTTTTATTCAGATTCCGCACTTGGCCCCTGACTTTAAAGGTGTTTTGAGTGTGTATTCCCTCCTTGCTCAAAAGGTTCAACTGTAGAGATTTAAGTTCTTCCTCTACTGCTTCCTCGTCTACTTCCAAAGGTGCTTCCGTGGTTTCTTCTGAGTCTTCCACCATCTCCATCAATACGAGCTGGTAATTCTTCATCTTACATACATGTTCTCGATTCCACTTATCTCCACACGTAAAACACAATCCCTTTCGTGTCCTATCCTGCAATTCGGTTTGGGAGAGTTTAGGAACCCCCTTCCATGTGCGAATACCCCCCTGTACAGTTCCAGTTGTTCCAGTTTTAACTTCTGAAATCCCCGGCTCCACAGTTGGATTGTTATTTGATATCACCCTCCCTTGTGATCCTCCCGTCCAGTACTGCAACTTAGAAGTGTGTCCCGTTTTTTCTGTCCATCCCCTTTTGTCCATCTCCTTGAGTCGTCCACCCTTGAGGGCCATATTTTTCTTGTCCACAAGTAATGCTTTATCCATCAGATCGGTGAGCCCATCAGTTGGATAAAGTTTCAGTTCAGCTTTAATCTCCTCTTTTAATCCCTTCATAAATACACCCTTCAGCATTGCCGGATCAGTATTTTTTAACGGGGCAACCACCGATTCAAACTGGTCTCTGTAGTCCATCACCGACTCAGTTTGTTTAATACTGAGCATCGGGCCAAAAGGATCCTGCACGAGTTCGGGCTGAAACCTCCTGATTACAGCAGCCTTGAAACCCTCCCAAGTTTTCTGCTCGGTGTTTTCATCCCACCATTGATACCAATTCAAAGCTTTACCCTCCATTGCGATGAGCACCACTTCCAGCTTCTCTTCATCGGCCACCTGGTTAAGCTTGAAAAACCTCTCAACCTTGATAATCCATCCATTTGCATCATTACCGTTGAACAAAGGTAGGTCTACCTTTCTTCCGGTGCGAATCCGCTCTCTGTTAATAGGACTATCCTGGCGAGTTGAAGGAGTCCGAGAATGCTCAGAATGACCTTCCGCCCGCGAGGAATCCACACTGCCAGATAATCGGCGATGCCTGGGTGTGCGTGAGCGACCCCTGGTTTGTCGGCGGCCGTTCTGGTTGATGAAGTTCGTCATCGCCTCTCGCATCTCGTTCACTGAGCGCTCCAAACTGTCGATTCTATTCTCCATCTGCGATCTCGTAACGGGCATCCACAGTCCTGCGATCGATGCTCTGATACCAAATGATGAGTACGAATCCCAGAAACACCAATTTTATAATTGATATTGTTCCCAGGAATAGAAGAATTACAATTTAGAAGATGACGATAAAGAAAAACGAGGATAAACTGTCGTAGAAGTAAACTGAGACCAGTTCGAGAGGGTCTCTCTCTCCACTTCTGCCCACGTTCCAGAATGCCTTCTCTCTCCAGTCGTTGCCTTTTTATTCCCTCAACCATACCGATACTTCCTCCTTAGTCGGTTATGCCTCCACTCTCCTGTGTTGATAGTCTCTTCCCCTTTTTACCCCTACGGTTATAAACTTTAGAAAAATCCCGATTAGGATTAATTCTAAAATTTAGGCTCGTATCATATGGGCTGCAAAATCTGGAAGGAATAGTTGAAAGGTGTGTTATCAGTCAGTATATTGGAAGAGAGGGGCTGGAGGTGCATGCTTATGAGGCACCACCAAAAGAAAATGCAGAACAGCAGCTGTACTCTATCAAGATGGAGGATTCTAAGGCTGCTGAAGTGAATGGCAGGAGCGCAGTGAAGATAACAGTAAAGAAAGTAGTGGAGTATTGGGAAGGAAGAGGTGAAAGAATGAAGAAGAAGTTGTTCATCAGAACTGTCTCCTATGACCCACCTTGAGGACAAGGTGGTTTTCAAAGGGGGAGTAATGTTAGGAACCTAAGAATATTATCAAGTCTTTTAATATTTTGTAATAAAATGGGTTTAAGCCTTATATCTAAGTAGAGGTAGGCTGGCCCATTAGAGAATGAATAAATAAGGGGGAGCTGGAAATGGAAGGGGGGGGGGGGGGGATTATTTGGGACTTGGGACATCGGGACTTGGGAGCTGGCATTCACTAACTGCCGATATATTTCTCTTTCTATACTCTCTGTTATACGACACTTTCAGTTCATATGCCTTCTATCTTCTTCATCTTGATTCGTGAATTTACTGTGAAATTGCCTGTACCTAACAGTTACAAGGACAAGGACTATACTGTTGATTTTGAGCAGAAACACAAATAGGTTCTTTGATTCTGAGCAAAAATTCAAACAACTTGTTTGATGTTTCCTTCCTTTCAATTTTTATAGGATAGGTTTAAAAGTTGGGAGTCTAGTGGAGTTGAAGTTGTGCCAGTATTATCTCAACCAGATGATTTTTGGGAAGGAGAGCGTGGCTATGTGCAGGTAGTCAATCAATACTTATACTATTGTCACATTCTTTCCTTTCTCTTGTTTACTTTCCTTGCATGGCAATGACCATACCTTGAGCCTCTTTTTTACAGGCTGCATTTGCCAAAGCCAAAAAGCTTTTTAGAGCACAGTCAACCGGTGCAGTCCTTTGTGGACAAAAACCAATGGCTGAGGTGTGTGGTTTTATTTTCTTCATAAACCTTGAACTTCCAGCTGTTTAAAATCCGGTTTTGAGTTTCCGGATAGAAGATCGATGTTTTGTGTCCACAGAAAAGTATAATTGTTAAAATAGATGAAGTTCAAGTCTTTTTGTATGAAAGATAAAGAATAGAAATATATGATAGATTTGTGAATTTAATAATAGTTAGTGATATAATAAGCTAATAATCCTTTTATCTCCTTTTGTGATGAAATTGGTAATAAATATCACTACCTCCGTCCCACTAAGATTGGGACAATTCGGTTTACGATGCTTGACCGACGATAAAGCAAACAGATCCCTGTCCGCTCTCAAATTATTTTTAGGAAAAAAAATTACATATTCAGAAACTACATTAAAAGCTTTACAAAGTCGCAAAAACAAGAATCGAATTTGATAAAAATTTGATATATAAAGTAAGTGATTAAGAGTGATTTGTGTTGACTAAGTGAATAATGTCTGAGACAATCTTAGCGGGACGGAGGGAGTATTACATTACTCTGTATTAATACCTCCGCCTTCCTAACATTGGTACAAGAGGAGGTGGTGTGGTTACTTAGAAAAATGAGTTTATGTGGTTTATATTGAACTGATAAAGTGAAATTAAAGGAAGACTGGTTTAGAACCACACAAACATTACCAAATTTGGTATGAGACAATCATATTGGGATGAACCAAAAAAGAAAGACGAGACAATCTTAGCGGGACGAACCAAAAAGGAAAGATGAGACGATCTTAGCGGGATAAAAAGAGTTTATTTTTAATCAGAAGCAATATGTTTGCCAATAACTGGCCATCAATGATATGCTTATTGTCATATGATGATGTGGTGTCATCAGATTTGTTACCATTCATAAAACCCCATTCATTGGCTGGTTCTGGTGACACCTCAGCTGAGGGCAACACATGGCATGTCATCAATGATAGTTTATCATTGTTAAATTACAAAAGTAAAAATCAATTACATACTATGTTTTTTATTCATATCTTTCTGAGTTTTGGTAATCATCTCTTTTTGAAAGAATCACTAGTAAATCATCATACTGCTATAGTCAACTGGCTGAATCTTGTACCTGCAGATAGCCTAGGTGCACAATTACATGCTTATTCACCCCGTTGTTATTTTGTAGTCTGATAACCCCATTTGGCTTAACGAGAAACTCTCTTGGTACATTTGACCTCAAACTAAATTCTCCAAGTTACTTTTCACTTGCATGATGATCTCGTATTTCACTTGTGCAAAAATGTGTTTATTTGAAGACGTATCAAGTGCATTTTTGGCTTGACTAGCTTTTGAACGTGTTTTTCAGTTGTTAAGCTTTTTGTAGCTAAAAGTTTTTTAAGTGAAAAACGGAATAGCTGTTTGATGCAAACTCTTTGAGTCTTTTCCCATGTAGCGTTAGAGAAAAGCTTCAAGATTCCAAGAAAAGCTTGCTTACCAAAGACATAGTGATGGTCTTATGCATACTTGAAAAAATTATAGAAAGCCAGAACCTCTAATACTTGTAAGTGTAATACTAATGCACCCTAACTGCATATCCTATAAACTATTGCAGGAGGTAACTTCTATACTTATAGCTGATGGCGTCTTGGCTGAAAAGATATTGAAGAATTTCTGACCTCAGAATTTAGAACCAGATTGTTGTATTACTATTGAGTTTTCAATAGCAACAAAAAATTAATTTGACCTGGGCAGACAGCATACTGCAACTTTTTTGCACAAAGTTTGGTTGCTGCATTCACATTTGATCTCAAACCGACCACAAGGTAGTGATAGATGCTCGGAGTTTGTAGGTGCAGACTTTATACTCTTCATTTTTGCCGTCTGTCTATTATCATATGAACTGAGATGGAGCACAACTTTGATCCAATATAGAAATAATAATAATAATTATATTATATCGTAGTACTACATTCTTTGTATTGAAAAAAGAGTCAGAGTTTTGTATGTACATTTGAAATATTTGTATCAGAAGTTTTGTGATGGATATTCTGTCTTGAACAGAAGTTTGAAATTGTATGAGTGTTCAGGTACTTCAAACGTTTGTATTTGTGGTTTGTTTCGTTAATTGCCAGTATCATTTCACTCTTTAGATTAAGAACATATACAATCCACTACCCATGCAATGATTTAGACCAAAAAAATCAATTTGAGTCATTTCACCCTATTTTGTGCAATACATGCATTTAGGGGTTGAGCCATGTATTTATTCCGTTGAGCATTTAGGGTTGACCCTAATCACCCCTCCGGTCCCCTCGTTAGGCATTAATATACTCCGTATGATGTTTCATAGTTTGAGTTTCAGTCTGCAAAATCAATGTCTGATTACTACGTACTCTGTATTACGTAGTAATATTTAGGAACATATATTTATAAAATCTATAGTAAAAGTCTTTGGTTAATTCTTGTTCTTGGTTATAAACCCATAGTTTCATGGTTATATTTATAAGTTTTAATTTCATTAGTTAATTTTTGTAGCCTGAAAAATTAAACAACGAAAAAGTGTAAAATGATAAACTAACATATAAGATTTTAAACAGTCTCTTAAATTAAAAGATTACATTAAAAGTTAAAACTCAAAAATCAGGTGATATTAGAGCACGATCCAATTGTGGTTTATTATTTATACCTCTAGAATTTATAACGAAGAGTAAGTAGGGTAAATAACATAAATACTCTGTATTTTTTCTCGAAGAAGACAAACAATCGCATTGCTTGTAATAAAAAATATGGAAAAGCAACAAGTACCAGTCGGATCAACTGTACACAGTACACAAGACATAAACTTCAGTAATAAACTTAAACCACCAAACCATCATATCCAAGCTATTAACATTGTTATGCTAACCGCATCCTAAATAGTTTGTAGTCGAGTAAAAAGAAGTTTTAAGCAATTACACATGTTCTATACTCGGAAATCCGTATATCGCATCATTTTTTCAAGATCCTATATCAACTAGACCCTACGGTAAAATATTATCCCTTTCAAAAGTTATGATTTATATGTTCACAAATAATTTTATTTTCATCCATGTAAGATACTAAATACGTAGTAGTAAATACCCCCATTTTGAAGAGAAAATGTTACAAGAGTACAAGTAGCTCCAGGCCTCCAGCCCCAAAAACATTCCTAATTTTTGAAGAGAAAAGGTGACAAGTAGGTTCGAAGGCTATAGGTAGACGAAGTTGAATGTGAATAATTTTAACATCTTTTTGAATAATTTTGGCATTTTCTTAACCACATTGCTCTTATGCGTCTTAATAAGAAGAGAAGATGGTGAATTTGAGTGGCCAAATTAAAATCACACGTTTCATTTGTTTTCAATGAATAAAGCGCAGAGTACATCCAGAAGACATGTCAATGAGACAGACATCTTCTCCTAAGCACCCACTCCCGCCAACTCCAGCTGCTCAAGTCTTTTGTGGCTGTGATGGTGATGGTGGTGATGCCTGTGGCGGTTCCTTTTATGCCTCTCACTTCTTTTATACTCATCTTCATTTTCATCATCACTTGAAGGCTCTGAAGTGCCAGAATGAGACCGCTTGTGATGCTTTTTGTGGTGCCTCCTTCCAGTGTCATCACTATCATCATCTGAAGAGTCTCCATCATGCTTGTGCTTCTTGTGAGCCCGTTTCTTCCTCCTATTATTTTCCTCTGAATCATCACTACTACTGTATCCGTCACTACCAGAATGTGAGCGTCTATGACTCTTGTGGTGATGCTTCCTGTGCCTCTTGTGAGAGTGAGACTTCTTGATGACTTTTCTATCATAATCACTTTCACTGTCACTGTCATCAAACTCTGAATCAGATCTCCTCTTGTTTTTGGCAGTGGTCGACTTTGACTTCTTCTCTTTAGCTTCGGCGTCTGCCCGTGCCTTAGCTGCAGCCTCTAGCTTCTCTTCCCACTTCAGGCGAGCTTCGTTCTTCTCCAAAGCTCTCCTTTTTTTCTCCTCGACCAATTGTATGAACTTTTTTGCATCCATTTAAATGACTGAAAAAATTCTGCATTTTGGTATGATGAAGACCAAAGAAATGCATCTCAAAGATGAGAAATGAAACAATGTTAGTTCCTCCATCTTAAGTTCTCAACACACAATCTAAATGATAATAACAATTTAAAGGAAAACAAAATACAAACTTTATGTAAAATTTATTTTGTGGGATTTGGGAAGCTGTCATGAGGGGGGGGGGGGGGCAACGAATGCAGATGTAGATGAAGTGTTTCCGTTCCAAATAAGCAATCATATAAATAGTATGGAATATTCCAAATCCGTAACAACGAAAGGGATACTGTGCTCCCACAACTAAAGTGAGTTTGCACTCACAATGCATTACAACAACACACCCACACAAATCACATATACGAATATGAATGGAGAAGTTGTTATACTAGTGAATTTGCAAAATGGGAAAACACCAATACTAGGCAAACTTATTTGAAAATAAAAATCAATGAAAAAATAAGATTAAATGCAAGCTGAAGCTAGAAAAAGAGCATAAATCGAAAGTATCCATGGTTAGAAACGACGGTTAAGAGGCAGGTTTTGAGGAACTTAAATGTGGGGCACATAGATTAGGTATTGAGGCTTAGGTTTTATTGCAAGATAAGAGGCTTACACATCAAAAGTCAAGCCGTGCGCTTGAGACGCATCTCATGGCCTTTTTTGGGGCGGGATTTTCCTTGTATGTTAAATAAGGTCCCATAAATTTTATTTATAAAAGCCCTAACATTAAACATGTGTGTACACATGTACTTTCTAAACCCTAACAACTTAGCCAAGTGAAATTATTAAAATATTTTCATTCTCCTGCACAATGATAAGAATGGGAGAACTTTGATAGTAATCATGGAACTATGGAAGGAATGAAGGTGCTAAAGAGTAAGGCCATAAGATATGATGATGGTGATGAGGCTATAAAATATGGTGATTGAGCTTCCAGATTTCTGAATTGTGTCATATGTGTGATGTATTTGTTTGTGTGCTGGCATTCTCCTTTTGAACTACTATGTTTGAGACATTTTTTACTTATAATTATGTATTTCCTTAGTTGCTTTTAGCAATTTATATATTTACAATGTTGTTAAGATCGCGATCCAAATCGCAGGATCGTACGTTTTTACGATCAGAATAGGGAGGTGCGAGCTGGATCGCTGCTGGGATCGGAAAACGCCCTAGGATCGTCGGATCGTCGAGTAAAATCGTAACTCGTACGATTCTTCGATCTACACGAGTTGCGACTTCAAAGCTAAAAAAGGGGAAGAAGTCGCGGAACCCATCGCCACTTAGGATGAACGAAGCCCAAGCGACACCTGCTGCAACGTTAATCTTCCCTGCTTCTTGCGCTTTAAATCAATATTCCTTGCTTCGTTTTCTTCTTCTCATCTTTGTTCTCTTCTTTCGACCGCTTCGTCTCTTCGATGTACTCTGTTTTTTGTCCGCTTCGTCTCTTCGTTGTTCTATCTTTTCGTCCAATTTTAATTTTTTGGGACTGCTTTTTATAAGGGTCTTTTGGGACTCCTCCTCCTAATGAACTTGTTGTGTCAAATTAATATTCGTATGTTATTTTGTTGACATATGTTTTGGAGTTTATCTTTGAAATTCTTGCCAAATGTTATTCAATTTATGTTAACTGCTGTATATAATTATATTATTAAATATAATTAAATATAATTTATATTATATAATTAAATGTTATTCAGTTTATATTTTATATAATTATGTTAAGTTGTTACGTTAACTGTTTTATATAATTATTACGTAGTAATATTAATATTAATCGGGAATATAAGTAGAATTGAATTGTATGTCTATATATATATATATATATATATATATATAGTATGGTAGGATCTTACGATCCGAGTTACGATCCCCGAGTTACGATCTCCTAGACCCCTTCCGATCCGTGCTAGGATCTCGAGTTTAACAACCTTGTATATTTAATTTTTATTTGTAGGTATATTTTGAGGCTTACACCTTAATTAGCCTCAAGGCTTATGCCTTGCCTCTCCAGGACAAACTGCTGGACACCTGAACTAGGTTTTATAAAAATTGAACGTATCTAAGCAAATAATCACCAATTTCATCAAACTATCAGAGTATTTTAATTAACTGATAATAACAGAATCATTTGTAATTCTAGCTTAGCCCCTGCTTTTCATTTTTTCCCTTTTCACCCCCACTTTAACCTATGCAATCCATGTCAATCTATTATTTTCTTTGAATATCATCAGCAACAACCTTGGATTGGGTAGTAACAGCCTTAAATTACAGGGAAGATTCAAAGAGCTTGCTTTCTATCAAACAAAAAACATTATGCTGTAATACATTGCAACAGAACAAAGTCGGTTCCTTACCTTGTAACAATTTAATCAAATCAATGTTAAAGAAGTCAAGCCTCCCTTGCCAAGAGCCAATGTTTGGCAGTGCTATATCCAAATACTGCAGCTGGAATCTGAATTAAAGTGAAAGGAAATTAGTCAACATGAATTTATTTCCCACAATTCTACCCATGCAAGAAAACATTTATCAAAATCAAAAACTCAAATTCTAGAAAGCGGTGTCTTTTCATGTCTAAGGGCAATAGGTGAAACACCTATTCTCAGTTGGTGAAGTACATAACTACATACAATGAATTATGTAACCATAAGCCCCATACTATAACTCTAGGGGAAAACGTATTTTATAGCATAAAAAACGAAGGAGATAAATCTGAACATATCTGGGTCCAAAGAATACGTCAAGCACAAAACTACATATAACCCTAATGACTGCCAAACGTAAGCAGTAAGGACTTGATGAACTGAACCCTGAATAAAACAAAAACTACAACAGCATAAACACAGAAAAGATGGAAATTTCCAGGATTTAAAAAATAAGATTGATATAACGCAACAATCTTAATTATTGCCATGGAAAACTCAATACCATTAAAGAATAATAGAATAACAATGATGCGCAGAAAAAAACTTATAGAAAACCTAACACTGTAATATGTGAAAAATAAAAAAATTGGGGATTTAACATCAGATCGAAAGAAAAGAAACCATCTTATTTTAGGATAAAATAGATCTGAGTTGTATCTATTTCAAATATTTTCAACCCTGCTCCTAGATTTGTCCCCAGGGTTTCGTGTGTGGACGTCTCCTTGTAACATTAATCCATCAGTTTATCATCACTATACTTTAGTGTTTACGGCAAGGCACCAAAACTTCACTTGTACAAAAGATTCCTACCAGCGTAGCAATTATACCAGAATCGAAACTTTAACATACAAAATGGTAGATAAGTAAAGAAACCCTGAAATAGTTAATCTGAAACTCAAATCGCATACCTTACAAAAGAAGGGGACAGATCTTGAGGCGCAGGCGCAGAAGAGGAGGTTTGACTTGCGCGTTATGTGAAAGTTCAAGGCTGAGATTTTGGGATAGGTGGCGTACGGCTGAGATTCATGGTAGGGTATATATATAGAGGAAAGAGAGGACACATTCACTGGCAACGGATTAAGGGTCTGTTTGCAACAGCTTCTGCTTTTAAAAAAGTGCTTTTTTTAATGAAATGGGGAGAAGTGATTAAATAAAAGTTGATAGTGTTTGAGAAAAAAGTGATTTTGAAAAGTAAAAGTGGGTAGTGTTTGGTAAAATAAGTGCTTTTTGTGTAATAGAAAAAGTAAAAGCACTTTTGACGCGGAAGCCGAGAAAAATAAAAGTTGTAGTATTTGGGAAAATAAGTGCTTTTTTAAAGCCAAAAGCTGGGAAGTGCTTTTTTAAAAGCAGTTGCAAACAGAGCCTAAATCCAAGACGCGGTATTTGGGCCTCGGTTTTGAATCTTTGATATCATAGTAGGATCCCGTTTGGTAGCACAAAAATCAGCTAATTTGGCTGATTCTATTGAAATTTATGAGGTTCTGGCTTAAGTAACTGTATTGCTGATTCTGCTGATTTAAAAAAAATTATTTTAAAAATATATTTTATTAATAAAATAAAGAAAAAATTATATGTAAAAATAGCTAAAATGACATCTACAATAACTTCAGCCAATACAGCCAGAAAAGTAACTCCAACCTTACTTTTTCTGATAAGTTGGCTATAAGCCTGATAAGCTGAAAAACAGTATTGCCAAATGGCCTCTAGATTTTCAAAACAGGATGATATCATATTTACAATTGCATAGGAAAAAAAAGTGTTTGCGATTGCTTCTACTTCAAAAAAAAGATTTTTTTAAAGCGATTTTGAAGAAAATATTTAATACAGTAGTAAAAGTTGGTAGTGTTTGAGAAAAAAAATGATTCTGAAAAAGTAAAAGTTGATAATATTTGATAAAATAAGTATTTTTTGTGTAATAGAAAAAGTGAAAACAATTAAAAAATGCCCTTCCACCTGCTTCCAGCTTTTAGCTTTTAAGTCATTAATTTAAGCAGAAAATGTCATTTGAAAATATTCTTTTCACTTATTTTAAGCCAAAAGTTAAAAAAACATTTTTTATATCTTTAACAAACACTGCCTAATTATGCAATAGTTATACCGGAATAGCATATTACTCCGTATTTGTTAGCATAATTAGTTAATGTGTAAATGAATCTATAGAATATAGAAATAATGCACACAATAAATTGCAATTAAGTAAAAGATAGTTACCAATCATAATTGGTACCAAATATGTTTTAAAATAAGATGGAATAAATATTGGGTTGTTTATAAGAATCTAACATACAACAAAAATTGATGTGACTTTTATTTATAGATATCACATAAACGATCATGACGGGGAATTGCGTTTTTGAAACTTGGAATTTTGATATAATTCATGTGTGCATCATCACACTCTAAATATATTACTTAATCACATTTAATCACCAAATATAATATTATTATAAGGTGTGTTATAATATTATAAGGTGTGATAGAAACAAATCCAATTAAAATTTGAATCAAACCTGGCCCAATTATTATTTAGAACAAACTCAGCCCAATTATTTAAAACCCCATTTTTGGTTAAACAACGAACCAGTTAAACACAAGTTACACAACCACCCCATTTAAGATCCCGTTTAAAGGTTCTCATGTCAAAATGACACAATTATTTGGATAATAATTAATATGCTATTTCGAATATATTTAGAGAAATAATTTTGATGAGAACATAATATAATGAGTTATTGATGATAACTGTAATGTTTTAAATGCATTATTTTCAATATTCGATGATTAAATTGTTATTTGAGAGTGTTAATCATATCCTAGAATAGAAAGTGAGGACCTTTAAGTGAGAAAGCCAAAAAAGGAAATTGAAAACCTTTAAATGGGACGGAGGGAGTATATGATATGAAATATAATGTAATAAAAATATATTCAGATTTTAAAGTTAAATGAATAAAGGTCATACATTTGAGGACCTAATCTTGCTCAATTTTGGAACCACCACAGCCCAAATTTGGATCCAACCCAATCTTTAGTCCTAAAACCGTCCAGTCTACCCAACCCTAAATAATATTAGGGGCGGGCATGGTCGGTAGGCTTGGACCCTGTTTGGGCCACCCGGCCCGGTACTGTTTGGGCCCGGCCCGGCCCGGGAACCGGGGTACCAGGTCTAGGCCCGATTTGAAGGGGAAACTAGGGGCGGGTACGGGCTTAGGGAATTGAGAACCGGCCCGGTAGGTTCCGGGCCCGGTTCGGGCCTTTTCATTTTTTTTTTGGTTTGGGGCTTTGGGCTGGGTTTAAATGGGCTGCCATGGATATTTCAGATGGGTTTGTGAGATATGGGGGGGGTAGAGGATAAAATAATCAAGGGGAAAAAATTAGATCCGGACCCGACCCGACCCGGGCCCGACACCGGTCAACTATCGGGCCGGTCCCGGTTCTCACAAAAAAAAAAAATTGGGCCCGGGTGAGCCTAGGCCTGACCCGAAACCGGGCCCGGTTCAGTCCATGACTAATGGCCGGTTAACCGTGTTTGTGTTAACCAACTTTCCGGTTAACCGAGAAACTTGTTACTTTGGTTAACCAAAGCTTCGGTTAACCGAAACCTCGGTTAACCACGAACCGGTTAACCAATAACCGTAAAACCATAATTGAAAATATCTTTTATCATGCCCAACAACTTTACTTTCTTCACATTTCGAAATTATTAAATGATAGTGCATAATCTATAGATAATACAATTCAAAGATACAATTAGGGAAAGTTTTGACATGTGGCATATTCTCATCAAACCTTCATTGTAATATCTTAGAATCTCTTTCCAATTTAGGGAGTATTATACGTTACATGGGTATTCAAGTTAGATTAGAAGTGTTTAACGTTAATTTGGACTAATCACGGTTGGAATCCTAAAGCTTCCTAGAGTTGTGCAACTCAAAAAATAAAATCCCATATTTTTTTAAACTGCCATAACTTTTTAAGTTGTATTCTGATTATTACAAAAAGTATACCAAAATTCATAACTTTTTATTATCTTTCATATGACATCAATATTGAATATATAAAAATAAAAAAATAATTTAACACTTTAAAATAATTACTTTACTGTATATATACTCTGTAGTATTTATGGAGTATTAGATTTTTTGTTACAATAAATTGATTGGTAGAAGTTAAACTTGACTCAAATTTGGAATTTAAAATACTTCGTATGTCTTTTCCTAAATACTGTCTCCGTTCTCCAATGGTCTTTTCCTAAATATTGTTTCCGTTCTCCAATGCATGTTCTCCTTTCCATTTTGAGTTGTTCTATAATGATTGTCTCTCTTTCAATTTTTTGAAATTTTTTCAATAAAATATACATATACTCTCATTCTCTTTCCTACTTTTTCATTTAAACACAAGACTAATAAAAGTAATACAAATGTTTTTAATTAGATTAAATTTTTCTGGTCTCGCTTGATCTGTTTAAGTCTGATCTGGTCTGTTTGATTTTTTTTAGTCTGACCTGGTCTAAGCAAAGTAAAAACATCTTAACATGTCCCAAAATCAATCCCTTATGAAACGGGTCTCTTATATTGTTTCTAGAATTGCACTCAAATAAAATTGCACTCAAATTATATTTTGTAATAACTTCAACCAAATTAGCTAGAAAAATAAGTCCAACTTTGCTTATTTTGATTCTTACACAATTCAACGTGAAAAATAAAAAATTACATGTTTATGAAAATCAAAAGTACAAATTCAAAGTTAATAAATGAAGATCTACAATTTTAAAACTAAGAAAGTGAATAAAAAGATAATATTTTTTCTAAATACTTAAAATTAAAATATTGAATAATTTTAAAATTAGTTAAAATCCATACAAAATCATGAATATGCAAAAGAAACCAAAAATAATATATATAAAAAACATAAATATTATATTTTAGAAAAACACAAAATATAAAATAATGATTTTAATTTTTAAACTGCGGTACATTTTTAGATTTAGATAAATTTTAAATTGTAAAAAATCCTAATTTTGAAATCGTAGTAACATTTTTTGTGTTTTATATAAAAAATATGTTGATAATTGGGATATTTAAAAGAAGAACAAGCATAATTCTGATTAATAGTGACCTGGTATAACATGTTATACCCAGTCATGAACCATTATTGGCGGACAAGACACATAGTTCGGATTATATTGAAATAATTAATAGTTGGGATTATTGTAAATAAACTAACAATAGTTGAGATTATTGTTTTCAATTTTTCCAAAGAAGTATCATATGAATGTATTTACTTTATAACTATCATCAATCAAGTCATTGTAACCTGCATTGGAAGGTCATTTAAAAAAATTAAATAAAACAATTGATTAATCGTACAAAATTCCATATAAATTTGAAAACTAATGTAATCATAATATAACATCAGTATGAGTTCAAAAATATATAAATATTTTTAACATGTTAAAATAAATAAAAAATATAAAATTATAAAATAAAAAATAAAGTAAAATTATAAAAATATAAAATTAAAATGGAATAACTCTAAAAAAGATGTAGAATATAAACACAGTTCTTAATGCAAAAATATAGACTTTGACATTTTTTAAAGTTTTTAATGTAAAACCCTACTTCTACAGGTTAAAACCAGTTAAAAAGCCAAATTGATTGATTTTTTAAATAAAAAACAATTATATGATTTTTTAGTACATGTACTTAAATGGTAGATTTTAAACATCAAAATGACCAGTGAAGTTTTTATTTTGGTCGGGATCCCATCTCCCATTAAGCCATTCAAAAAGAATTCCATTGTAATGTAGAATTTCAAGTAGCTTAATTCTAAATTAACGAAATAACAATTCTGAAGTACAAAATACATCCGAGTGTTTTTAACTAATTACTCCTATTCTGGGAAAAAAAGCATGACACCCCTAATTAAAAAAATTGTTTGTGCCGTGCTCCGGATAAAATAATTTAGATTTTAGTTTTACTTAATTGATTATAACATTGGTTTATAATGAATATTCATATTTATTGAGTATATCTTATTTTTAATTAATTATAACATGTATTTGGTCTATATTTTCCAATTAAAAGAGAAATTTTTTTATAACTCTGAGTTGAAACGACCCCCCCAAAAATGCTCAATGCCTATTTTTATCCATTAAATTTCATATGTGATTTACTGTTTTTTTCAAGACTAACCACGCATTTTTGTAATTTAAGAATTTAAAAATGGGTGTAGTCAATTTTATTGCAAATATTAAGCCTTCTAGGTTTTAAAATTTTGCCAATTGGTCCTTCGAACCTATTTCATTACGAAAAGAGGTTAGAATATACTTCGTATAATTTTGTGACATCACAATGAATATATCCTTAATTATAAAGTTGAACATAAATTTGAGATGGCATTTAGGAAAATGTGAATTTTTCAAATTTTAACACATGTAGTCTTGCTATTTAAATTTTACCTACTTTCACTTTATCATGTTCCACTCTTTATCCAATTTTAGGAATGATTTGAAAGTTATTAGATAATTAGTAAACAGTTTTATTGAAATGATTTGGAGTGCTTAAAAGATTTTATTCTTATATATTCCACTTTCATATATTCAATTATCGTAATTAAAAATATAGAATATAATGCCATATTTTAATCCATAGATATATGAATATATCCATCCTTCATATCAAATATCCAAAAATTGAAACAAATATTACTCACCCCAAACATGGAATGTCCGAACATATATTGCGACATAAATCTTTGATGTTTTATTAGTATGAATTCAAGTACCAACTTTCTCAAAACACGTGCACACGATGTAGAATTATTGGATAATATCACATTATAATTGAACATATAATTGATGTACGTTAAAACAATAACATTATAACCCGAATTAATGTTTTTAAAGTCATTTTTCATTTACGTACCGTTGCCATGAAAATATGAAACCTAAAACTCTTATACGAAACAAAATTGAAAATCCAATAGTAGAACTATTAACAAAATTTAATATTCGAATTAGATCAACAATCTATACATCCATACTCACCACTAACAAAATCAAATAATAATACAACCTTATTATACCTCCAATCTATCAACCTGAGACCATTGCAACTTTGGTAAATGACATATCGTATATCCATAGAATAACGATCAACGACCGCCCGACTTAAAACCCAAAAATCAATGACAAAGATATCCATTCTGTGTGTAATGGCGAACGCGACCTCAAAAATTGACACAATCCCTTTAAATAAGGGCGTAAAGATTCCAATTTGATTTCGTATAAGAATGCGTAAATGAAATGAAAATTTCAAAGTAAAGGGAAAAGGAAACAAAAAATACTCAATAAGATGGAAGGGTTGTAGTAAATAAAGTGAACGAAAAGAATTAGTACTCTGATCTGTAATGATGTAGAAGGTGAAATGGGAGGACGGCATAGACGCATAGTCATATGGGTAGGAAAAAATGACCCTTTAAAAATTGTTTAATTCAATCTAATAACTACAAGTAATAAACGAAAATGAAAGTGAAATATATGAAAACAAAAATCCTTTTAGCAACCCCAAATCATTCCTAAAAGTGGGAAGAAGGGTGAAACATCATAAGTTAAAGTAGGAAACATTAAAATAGCAAGACTACAAGTGTTAAAATTTGTTATATACACAATTATCTTAATGATATCTCAAATTTATGTTCACCTTTCTTATTAAGGATATTTTCAATTGGAATCAATTTTTTTATCTCATTTATGAAATTAAATGTTATTTTTTTTTACTTTAGTGTATATATTAATATGATTTTGATATATTTTGGCCGATATTACCCAAAATAGGACTAAAAAAGTTTGCAAATTCCAAAATAGGATTGCCATGTTTTTATTCCCAAAATAGGACTAATTACTGTCATGTTTTGGCAGTATCAGACTTTAAACATGGCAGTATTTTCCAAACTTGACAGTAATTACTCCTATTTCGGGAATAAAAAATATGGCAGCCCTATTTTGTAATTTTCAAACTATTTTGGTCCTATTTCGGGAACTTTCCCTTTAATAAATACATATATATTCTGACACTAAAGTGTTTTTTAAGAGCTAGATAAATAAGCTAGACTGTGTATAAAAAGTAATTCAGTTACTCATGATGGGGTGTAACGTTAATATAGTACTTAGTAATATTTGGTCATAAAAATTGAGACCATTTTTCATCTGAATGTGGGACATGCTTTTTATTGCATACTTTGACATGTTTATGTTTCAATTATAGTTACCTCTTAATGCCATGAGAATTTTCCATAGGTTTTATTCATGTGGCATTTTAGATAAAATTGTCTATTAAAAGTCTGAAACATGCATTCGTTCTTCGTTGAATAACACTTATTTTACTTAATAAGATCATATTACTCTAAATAACTGAAAGGCTCAACCTAATGAAAAATAAATCGATTGCTATTAATCACATTAGACAACCTAATGTCACCGCCATCACCTTCATTAAAATCAGAATGTCACTATATATTTTTAAGTCTTTTCTTTAAAAAAGAGATCAATGACTAATTTGCAAAATGCTACTCTGTAATTAGTAGACCTATACCTACAGTAGAATATGCATTACAAAATATAGACTGAAAACATGTTTGGATAATTAGTAGAAAAATAAGATACTACAAACAAAATGTCATATAACGGGATTTTATATCAATAGTCAATTACCATGGGTATAGGAGACCTATACCTACAGTAGAATATGCATTACAAATCAGTGTTATAATCGACTAAATAAGTGTTTTTTCGTTAGTATAACTAAAAATCAATATCATTTTGGGGTTGTTTATTAACCGGCGTTTCAAGCCCAACACGCCGATATTATCAATACTTACAATGTAAAAAACATAACGTTTTTGCTCAACCCGCTGATATCCCAACATAGTCTTTATCCCGTGCACGGCACGGGTACAAGTACTAGTAATTGAACAAAATAGAATACTAATCCAGCAATAAATGACGTTATGCAATAAGCTAGGAAAACAATCCTTAACAAACTCACTAAAATGTCAAAAAGGCAACTGATCAAAAAGAAAGAAATGGATTGAAAATTTTTATGTGATCAAAAAGCCGTGCTTCACGCCTCCCTCCTCCTCAAATTAGTCTTGGACCCAGTTCGGGCCGCCCGGCCCGGGACCGGCCCGCTATTGTGCGGGACCGAGATCGGCGCGGTTCTTGGGTCCGGGTCCAGGTCCAGGTCCGGGTCGGGCCTAGGCCCGGTGGGGGTGTGGGTCCGGGCTCGGGTCTTATATTTGGCAAACCGGCCCGGCCGGGTTGGGCCCAGGCCCGGGCTGAATTGATTTTTTTTTTTTCATTTTTGGGGTTCCACCCGGGTTGGGCTTGATGGTTAGGAGGGGTGTGGGGGGTGGGGGGGGGGGTTAGGAAAGCAAAAAAAAAAAAAAAACCGGAGGCCCGGACCGGACCCGGTGGCTACCCAGGCCGATCCCGGGCCTTCCTTCCCAAAAAAAAGCCCGGCCGGGCCGGGCCCGAGTCCATACTGACTCAAATGATTAAAAATTTCTATGTGCTTTTGTGGCAATACGTACAAACGGCTGTCTACTGTGAAAAGCTCCAGATGTCTACTAGTAAGTTAGAAACAGATTAAGTTTGGCCAAATGTGATCAATGCAGCAGAAATACAAGACTATACCAGTGTTAACAGATACATAACTGCATAAAACTAGAACTGATATACGAAGTCTAGATAAAACTATAACAGATAAAACTCTAGATTTAAACCAAGTCTCGTAATTAATCTCCAAAGCTAAAAAAGCAGCTCAAGTTTAGAACACAAGTCTTCAACTTCAAGATTTGTTTCATTTCCCTACAAAAATAAAAGTGACATATTAAAAGTTGGCAGTTGATAAAAAATAAAAATATATTGCATTGTTGTACATGAAATGAATAAAAACAGAGAAAGTGATGATCGAAAAACATAACTCATTTAAAACAAACTAATTGTGGAAGCTAAACTCACTTGAAATCCACTTTCAGAATTTTTGAGACAATCTTTAAATCTGCTCTTCTTTTATCAGAATATAACGATAACTACTCCTGCCCAACTTCAAGAACTCCATCAACTTCTGTCCCCTCCTGCTGCATGCCAAAACATCCCCATACTAACTTGCAAGAAAAAAATGGACATACTTTTAATACCAAACAGATGCTGACATACAAATATAAACTAATTAAGAGGGAAATGAAAATGGAAAACCGTTGTTTTAATGGGGTCCTTGGACTATCATAGCATTTTCATTTTTATAGTCCAGTTTCAAGTTTCAAGCCCCTGGACTATCATAACATTCTAATTTTCATAGCATGAAATTACATATTCATAATTCCAGTTCCAAGTCCTAAGAATACCCATAAAATGGAGAAACACCTTTGGTCTACACATACTTTTTAGGACAGCTACTGAGACAAGCTAATGCGAATATATTTTTCTGCACAGACAAATGACCCACTCCAGATGTAAACAATAAAGAAAAGACATCTAAAGGCAAAAGCTAGGTTCATCAAATTAAAACTGAAACATTTTCAAATAGATACTGCTTCAAATCAATATAAATATGAAACATATATACCTGACTCATTCAACCAGGTCTCTTCAACATATAATATTAGCAGGAGGTGGAGAAGAAAAAGACACGCACATTGTGACTTGCCCATATATGTATTAGTAAAACTAAAAAATTAAGAAACCTTAAGACCTCAAAATATGTCGCTTAAAAACACGCGTTTCTTGATTTCTGAATTTATGGTTATTGATTATTTAGGCATAGAGTTTCTTTTAATGAATCCTTTGTAGATTCATCCTATGAAACTTAAGTAGTATTATCATCCCAAAATATCTATTAGACATTTTAGTAAACACTTGGTAGCCCTTTCCCTTAAATCTCCTTTGCTTGCATTTAAACTCTTTCTACGTACTATAATAATTATATGTTAAATCATTTGAAACCTCACCATTCATCCTAGCTTGGTGGAACATGTAGGTAATTGCTTGCCTTTACTCCTAACAATCAACTTCTAACTAAAACAGATATCCGTACGAACTAGAAAACGGCACACTTCGTGAAATAGAAGGGGTCACAAATAGATCTGTATAATTCAAGGGATCGAACCAAATATTGAATGTGAAAAATGCAGCGTGGAGCATGAAATACCTGGATATGTAGCAGAAGAGCTCGCCTGAACTAAATCAAATTGACGGCTTCATCTTCCGTTGGTCGAGCGGCGGAGGATGAAACACCTGGTTTGGAGCAGAAGAGACTAGATAGATCAGGTCGGCGGCTCTAGACAAAGATGGAAGAAGAAAGGCATCGTTTTTTACAAATGGAGCTCTGGACCTGGTAGAGAGCGGCGTACCTGGATGCGGGATGGATCGACTTTGGTAAACCGATTCTAATTAATTTTAGATCGGTGAACCGAACGTGGGATTTTTTGGAAAACTATAAAATTAGCCTCTACCTTTAAAAAAAATCAATTAGACCCCCCAACTCAAATCTCGCTCAATTAAACCCTTGAACTCATTTTAGAGTGGCAAATCCCCCCTTTTGACTGGTAATGTATTGGTTAATCTGTTACTTGCACACATGGCGTCCCACGTAGCGGTTTTCAGTTTTTTTTTTCATTTTGTTTTTCTTTTGTCTTTCTTTTTTCCATCTCCCCTTTCTCCTACTCTCCTATTCGAGCAACCCCCTTTCCCCTTCTTCCATTTATTCCATCCACCCTTTCTTCTCCACTTTTCTTCTTTCTCACAATTCCCACCCACCGGTCGTCCAGTCCTTCACGTCGCCGGAGATTCATGAGAGAAACTCATATCGCCGGACTGCCGGACTCCTCCTTCTCACAGATTGCTTGTCCCCTGCCCATGAGTCAATATCCTTGAAGTCAATGAAGGTGCTCCGTTGAAGCTTCCGGGTTGGCGACGGTGTTCTGTGAGATCTCCAGACCGGCAATATCCAGATCTGCTGCACCTTCAATTCGCCCCCCCACACCTGTCGACGACGAAGAAGTAGGGACGGGAGTGAAGGCGGAGGAAGGTGAGGAGGGTGATGTGAGGTCAGAGAAAAAGGGAAAGAAAAGAATGAGAAAGAAAGAAAAAAAATTTGCAGGTGTGCCGTGTGTGCAGGAAAGGAGAAATGAGGGGGTGAAGAAGGAAGGGAAGAGAAAAAGAAAAAGAAGGAGAAAAGGGGAAAAAAACCTTGTCATACGCCACACATGCATTTTGACCGGGAATTGGGAGGCTACCGGTCAAAAGGGAGGATTTGATACTTTAAAATGAGTTAAGGGTTTGATTGACCGAAATTTTAGTTGGGGGGTCTAGTTGATTTTTTTTTAAAAGTAGAAGGGCTTATTTGATAGTTTTCCCTAAAAAAATATATCAGATTTTTTAGTTTTTTATGATCTTTCCAATAATATCAATTTTGTATATATATAAATTTGAAAAAAAAACATTTATTTCTAAATATCAATTTTTAGTTGATTTTTTTATATGTAATATTAGTACCATATGAAAGATCGTAAAAAAAGAAAATTTTTGATATATTTTTTAAAAAAATGGATTAAAAAAGAAAAATATAAAACAATTGTTTTATACAAAACTTTGGTGGGGGTGAACATACCCTCTCATATGAGGGTGAACAAAATTGTTCTCCATTAAATCTGATTACCCCATTACAAATGCCGAGTAACTATAGACGGTCTAATACCTCCGGTCGGTTTTTTAATTAACATATATTCAACCACCACCAATAGGTTCAGCATCATTTCACAGGATTAGAAAGTTATCTGCAAGAAGAGATTTTCTCCCCTAACTGCTAAAAAAGAACTTTTCTAAAAAACATGGGAAATCAAGTTTCTTGCCGTAGTAGTGTTTCTATTAGTGGCCATCTCATAGAAGCTTCATGCAAGGTGCTCCTCCCCGGCGGCGAAATCCAGAAGCTCCGGGAGCCGATCAAGGCGGCCGAGATCATGCTGGAACACCCCAGCCACTTCTTGGTCAGCGCTGGATCCCTCGTCGCCGGGAGGAGGTTCTCCGGCGTCGCGGCGGACGATGACTTGGAGTTCGGGACTGTTTACGTCATGTTTCCGATGAAGAGGTTGGGCTCGGTGATCACCGCCGCCGACGTGGGGATGCTTGTCCGGACGGCAGCCGCCTCCGCGGCGAAAAGGGTGTCTGCTGAGAACGGGAGAAAGGTCTCTCCGGCAGAGGGAGGTGTTGGTTCTCCGGGAAATGACGTCGGCCGGATCGACGTTGGGATGGAGTATCGCCGGCATAGGTTGTCTACTTGTAGATCGAAGAAACCTTTGTTGGAAACAATTGCGGAAGAACCTGGCCGTACACGTGGGAGTTGACAAGGAAAATCTATACCAAGGTTTTTTTAGAAATGCTAGATGCCTACGTACCTATTTTGTGTATCTCATTCGCATACATTATCTACGCAAATAGGGTTGTCTGTATACAGATAACCATGTTCGGAATTACAAAGTTGTCTGTATATAGACAATTCTGTCTGTATAGACAGTGTGTGCCATGAGGTACATAAAATGGGGCACCCTTAGTTTTTTTTTTCTTTTGAGTGAAAAGTGAAAACACATTTAAATGTTAGGAGGACAATACGTAATGTGAGATAGGATAAAAAACACCTTAATAACCTCAGCTATAGCATTTCTTCGGTTTTTTGCCTATGAACAGACAATTTATTCTATGTCAAAGACAAAATATTTTTCTTGTGACAATGGAAAAAAATTGTTTATTCATAGACAAAACATTGAGTGTGTACAAGAAGTAAAGTTGTTAACTCTAGTATGAGGAGATTGTGATTTTCAACCAATGATGTAAAACTCTTTTAACCTCTTTTCCATTTTACACAATAAATAATGTAGCATAATAAAACTATTTTAGCCTAGAGATGTATTTACATTATTATTTTAATCACATCCTTCGAAGAAATAAATGGACTTATTTTTACAATATTATTATTATTGTTATTTTTTCCATTTAAAATAAGTGAAAATAAGTTTTATTACGCTGCATCATCACTTCGCAACACCCCGACATTAATATAGAGATATGGTTAGGGAAGAATTAATACTCAAGAAGTCAAATTTAAGTAACTCACAATTTTAATATTCAACGAGTTTCAAGATAGCAAAACCAACATACAAGAGTTAATAACACATCATTTGGAATCTAAACATGCTAGAAATATAAATGAGATACTAATCTAAATGCTTGAAATGGCGTACTTATAAGCAAGATGGGCTAATTAAGTCGAATACCCCACCGAGTATTGACTATATACCCAACCGGGTATTTTCCCAAATAAGATATCGTACGTTCTTTTGATCTTCAGAATTCATGTTTGACTATGTTTGGCACAATGAACTGTAGCTTGAGGCTGTTGTCTGAATTAAAAGCTATTGTCTGGATTACAGACTATCGTCTGAAACTGAATTTTGAAGTGCTGAATCTCAATTACTGACTGAATGAAGTAGACTTGTTTGGCAAAAAGAGCTGAAAGATACTTGAATAATATGAAATTACATTAAAAGGCATAAAATTATTAATGAAAAAAATATTTATTTTAATGATATTTATATTGTAATAAATACTATACTTATACGGAGTAGTATATACGAAGTATATTTGTATATGTTCACGTGTTTGTATAAATTTCCAACAAATATGTATATTGATGTATTCAATATACAAACTAAATATATACTCCGTACAAACAAAACTTTATCAAACTTAGGCCAAGGTTTATATAGTTAGCTCGTTGTTCATCTTGCGCATTACTGCATAAAATTCAGGCCTGGGATAGAAGGAAGTCTATTCTCAAGTGGGAATGATGCATCGGATTCTTAATTCTTAAGTATACAAAACTGTAATCTGGTACTCCGTATTTATCAAGCATCACTGGAACTTCTCAAAGTGGCAGCTCAAACACCCTTAGATCGTAACCCAACTTCTCTCAGGATTTTCATCGAACAATATTTAGGCATACTAATCAACTCAATATAAAAGATAAATACTCTGTAATAATTATTGGAATTGGCCGAGCAAAAAGATGTTTCTAACTATTTTCCTCTCTCGTTAAAAAAAAAACTATTTTCCTCTCTCCTTTGGATCATTTATAGTGATTGCCTTTTGTGAACAACTGGTGTGTATTGTGTTGGGCCTGGATCAAGTGAAAATAGAAGCCTACCAAGATTACTGAATATGATGTAAGCCCAAGAGGAGTCTAACAGCCAACTCAAATAATTCAAAATAAGGATAAGAACGTGGAATGATTCAAAGGGGGAAAGCCATAGCACGCGGAGACAAAATAGGATGGCAGCTCCTACTCTTGTGGGAGAAGTTGGTTTTATTCGAATGATAAATAGACTAGCTACATGCTCTTGTAAGGCATGATCAATTAAGATCAAACTCACGCTCAACACATTCATATCACTAAACACTTGTACTCACACTTTCGGCTAGCAAATAGCCACGTAATATACTGCTTTATTTCTTTCTAGCTTCAATTCTCCTTTGTTGATTCTTGTTTGCTTGATTCCCAATTAAGTTATTTCGAATTAGTTTATTCCTTGCTCAAACCATTGGCGCCGTCTGTGGGAAATTCTTGCAAAAACGAGAATCAATCATGGCCGGAAGTTCTAATTCCTTGTTCGACGAAATTCAAACACAACTTGAAGCCGTCCGAGAGGAGCTCCGCGCGGCCAAAAGCGCTGAAGCGGCACAACTGGAAGCTGTCCGGGAAGAGTTACGTGCGGCCAAGGAGGCCAATCAGTCGAAGGAAGATGCTCAAACCCAGTTTGAAGCCGTAAGAGAGGAGATGCGCCAACGAATAGCTCTTCTCCAAGGAGAAAACGACGCCTTGAGATCCCAGGTTCGGTCGGTGGCGTCTATAGCATCAAACTCGCGAAAAGGGAAAGAGGCAATGACTGCCGCATCAAAGTTGGACATGGATTCCATACCAGTCTCAACTTCGGCAATTACATTCGCATCCGAGGTTTTTACGGGACTTTCAGATTTTGATCCCTACGCTAGAGGTTCCCCGGTGATCTCACAGCTCATACCCTATGAACCTCTCGTACCGACGACAACTCCAGAAGTAAGCATACCCATGTGCTTCTTCCCGGATTCGCTGCGTACCAGAACGACAACATCAGGACTACAAGTCGTCAACCAGCAGATGCCGATTCCAGCCACTGTGTCAACATCTACAGAGCCTTTCATCCCCCGTACTGGAGCAGGTACACCTGGAGAAGCAGGACCTTCATCTCGTCCTATGCCACTTCTGAACCCCAGAAGGAACGTATTTCGCAATCTGTTTACTGAGCCACCGAGACGACATATATCCGGACGTGACGACATGACGGAGGTCGCCGACATCAATAATCAGGGACGTCAGCATCCAGAAACCATCATCATTCATTTACCATTCGAACAGAGGGTGTCTCAAGCAGGGACACATTTCGGGATAGGAGGTCCGCAGATGCATATGGACATGACAGAACCTTTAGCCTTCATCATGCAGGAGTTAAGGGAATTGCGAGAGAAGTATAACGGCATGCCAGGGGTTCCCCGTCCCCTTGACATGGCGGCTCGAACCTGTTATGCGGATTCCCCATTCGGACGACATATAGCAGACGTTGAGATTCCGAGGAAGTTCACAGCCCCATCTATGAAGTTGTTTGACGGAACCACAGACCCAGTAGATCACGTCGCCCAATACAAACAGAGGATGTTAGCAATTTCCGTTAGGGCAGATCAGCGAGAAGCCTGCACGTGCAGGGCGTTCGGAACAACATTGACAGGGCCAGCGCTAACATGGTTCGTCAACTTGCCAAATGGGGGCATCGATTCCTTTGCGGATCTGGTTAATTTGTTCACCCAGCAATTTGCAAGTAGTCGTACGTTGGAGAAGCAGACTAGCGACTTATATCGAATAATACAAAGGCGTAACGAGTCCCTACGTGACTACTTGCATCGATTTAACAAGGAAAAAGTGTCAATCCCAAGGTGTGACACACCGACAGCTATAGAGGCATTCAGGAGAGGATTGCGTGAAGACTCGGACTTATATAGGGAGCTGACCAAGTTTCCATGCAAGACGTTCGAAGACGTCCAGGCTATGACGCTGGCCTTCATACGGCTTGAGGAGGATGAACAGTCTCGTCTGCGTTCAAATGGATATGAGGGTGGACAACGGAAGGCTAGCACCTCCAGGAAGCATGACTACAGGACAGGAAAACCCTACGCAAAGAATGAAGATCGACATGTAGCATCAGCGACTACATGGCTTGATGATCCTAGTTTGCCACCTACCATCCCAACATACTGCTTCAACGTCAACACAACCGGACTTATCAACGCCCTGGACAAATTGGGGGACAAAGTCTGATGGCCCAGAAAGTCAGACAGGTCCAGCGGGCGGCGAGACCCCAACAAGAGGTGTGACTTCCATGACGACATCGGCCACAACACAGAGGATTGTGTCGCGTTGAGAAAAGAGGTGGCGTATCTCTTAAGGAACGGCTACCTAACGGAGATCATGTCGGAGCAAACAAAGTCCATGTTGAGCAGAGGTCAGAAGTCGTCGGCAGATCACCAACGACCTCCCTCACCTACGGTACCACAAAAGGTAATAAATTTCATTAATGGTGGTTCTGATTTGTGCGGACTAACCTACTCTGCAGCAAAGAGACAAGCTCGGGAATATTCCCGAGACAAGTCATTGCAGGTGAATCAAGTCGTCCGGAAGGAGGAGGCTTGGAGGAATGCGCCTATCACATTTGACGAAACGGACTTTGCAAGTCCTGCTGATGTTCATCATGACACCTTGGTTATTGCGCTTCGGATAGCAAACTGTGAAGTGAGGCGGGTTCTGGTCGACAATGGCAGCACCGCCAACATCACAACCTTGAAGACTCTGAATCAGATGGGTTACAAAGAAGAGGATCTGACTACCTCCGGTTCCACTCTTGTTGGATTTAATGGCGAGCCAAGTAAGACAATAGGTAGCGTATCTTTACCTGTACATGCTGTTGGTCTTAACTTGCAGGTAAAGTTTGATGTCGTTCAAGATCTGCCCGCGTACAACATGATACTGGGCACTCCTTGGCTACATCAATTGGGAGCGATTCCGTCAACTTACCATCAAGTAGTTAAGGTTCCAACGCCATGGGGGGTGCAATCCATACAAGGTGATAGAGTCGCTGCCAAGTCATGCTACCAAACAGCGATGAAGCCAACGGCCTCCGCCACAACATCTGCATAGCAATCAAAGGGCGACTTAATTCCGGATGGGGAGGACGACAACATCACCAAAGACGTCAGCATTGATCCAGACCATCCGGATAGAGTCGTCCGCATTGGGGGCAACATGCCGATTCAGTTGGAAGAAGAACTTGTAACTTTCCTGAGAGAACATAAAGATGTCTTCGCCTAGAGTCACGACGACATGACTGGAATTGACCCACAAGTAATCACTCACAAGCTCAATGTCAATCCTTTACACAAGCCAGTCCAGCAAAAGAGAAGACGATTTGCCAGAGAAAGAAACGACATCATCAATCAGGAAGTCGAGACACTGCTGCATACCGGTAAGATTCGCGAGGTAAAGTATCCTAATTGGCTTGCTAATGTTGTTGTAGTGCAGAAAAAGAAGGGTCACCAAAAGGGCAAAAAACCTAAGTGGAGAGTGTGCGTCGACTTCACTGATTTGAACAAGGCTTGTCCAAAAGACATGTTTCCAATGCCACATATCGACGTCCTCGCAGATGCCACAGCGGGACATGAGATGCTGACATTCATGGACGCTTTCAGTGGCTACCACCAGATTCAATTACACCCTGACGACCAGGAGAAGACCGCATTCATTACTGAGACAGGTACAT